TAAAGATTCTCTATTCTACTCTCCACAGAATAGTGTAACATCATAAAAAAAAGATAAATTACAGTAAAATTTTTCAAAAGCATTTACAATTTAGTCTTTACTTTTTATATCGACTTTAAAGAACGTTTTGTTGATCTTTTATGGAGTTATACGAAAATAAAAATGCGACACACTTTGTTACATACTTTGCAAGGCTCCTCGACGTGAATTAAAAATTGCACACAATGCAGTTTACAGCATTTGAAAGTGTATATCTTTACCTTTAATTTGCGCACTCGTAGAGCATTTTGCGATTTTTTGTTGCCGAGTTATTCAATGTTGAAGCATAAGGATCATTTTTAGTTCAATGTGGAGTAACTCGGTGAAAAAAATCGCATAATACTCAACGAGTGCGCAAATTAAGGCTAAAGATTCATGCTTTTGAAAATTATAAACTGCATTTATGTGCCATTTTTAATTTGGATTATGGAACCTTGCAAAGTTTGGAGAAGATTTTGATATTTGACAGATCTTCTTTACGAACTTTGCGAAGTCCCATAGAGTGAAATAAAAATCGCATACAAATGCTACTTACAGCATTTAAAAACGTTTAAAAACGAATCTTTAGCTTTAATTTGTTCACTCGTTGAGCATTTTGCGATTGTTTTTACCGAGTTATTCAATACGAAAACAAAAATGGTCCTTTTTACTTGAATGTTGAGTAACTCGGTGAAAAAAAATCGCATAATACTCACCGAGTACGTAAATTAAAACTAAAGATTCACGCTTTTGGACACTGTAAGTCGCATTTGTATGCGATTTTTATTTCATTCCCCGGAACTTCGCAAATTTAGTACAAAATTTTTAGATTTGATGCATCTCCATTTGCATCTCCGTGCAGCTTTGTTAAAAAATCAGTAAATCATTTAATGAATTATGGATTTTACAAGGAGATACTTTAAGCTGTGAAATGCTTGTTGGATCATTCCGTTACGATCATTTTTGACGAAATTACAGTACCTTGAAATTTTCCTATTTTTAGTAATCAGAATGAATGATCCTTTAATTTTGCTGTCGAGTGTGTGTGTGTGTGTGTGTATACACACACACATATATACATATACTTTGTGATGTTACATCATAATAAAAATATAAAATATAAAATATGACAGCGATTATGCCGAGGACGGCGGTGTGTCTGACTTGCGAGATGAGACTGACGCGAGTATCGCTGAATAAATTTTTTTTAAATAAGAATGTTTAATTATAATATAAAGTAATAATAATAATAATAATAATAAATCACGCGGATTTATACATTGCGTTCGTTTATTTCTCATAAAAAAATTTGTACATACATTTTCCCTTTTTATTATCATATATTCAGTTTTAAAAATTAATTTTCTAAATTGCTATGTATTAAAACTAAAATTTGTACGTTTAGAAATGTAAGAATATTATGAATAATTTGGCCTAAGGCAATTATTTATAATATTCTTCCTTTTCTAAATGTAGAAATTTTAGTTTTAATACATAGCAATTTCGAAAATTAATTTTCAAGACAGCGAGTATGATAAAAACGGGAAAATGTATGTACAAGTTTTTTATGGGAAGTAAATGGACAAAGTGTATAAATCTGCATGATTTATTATTACTTTTTTTTTGCAAATAGTAAAATTTTTAATTAAAAAAAAAATTATTCGTCGAGACGCGAACGGGCACGCAGCGATCTCACGATTACTATAGGCAGACACGCTACCGCCGAGCCGAATGAGCTTTCTGAAAGTAGAAGTTCAAAACTTATTGCTATCGCACTTGCTATTTATTAAACTAAAATAGCTAAATTTTACATAAAATCGCTTAGAAATAAAAAAATTAAAAACGTCAAATATTTCTGTTATTTTAATTATTCTCATTTATTTCTTATTATTTATTGTTCAATATATTGAACACGCGCGTATTTGTTATGCATAAATCATATGCATGCGTGTCACGTCAGCATATAAAATTTAATTATTAAATTGAAAAAATTCCTTTTAACTATTTTCCATCTCGCTGCCAGAAATCGCCCGAAATCCTCTTTCTGAATTTCGGCAACGCAGCGAGACAAAAAACGGGACGGGAGAGAGGGGACTGTG